ACCCCTTTTTCTTCTCCCAGGCGCACGGCCACCAGGCAAACACGCCTCTTAACAAAAGCCGCATCATCAGCACACCCTCCACGCAGGAATGCCTGTGTTGCATCACCTATGTTGCATCACCTGTGCGACTACGCAACACCGCCCGAAAACCCCTCCATTGACGGCGTCTTTCCCCGTCAATATCCCAACGCCTACGGACTCCTATTTCAATTACGATGTCTCACACCCCGAGGAGGCAGTCTGTGGTAGCACCCTGAAAGAAACGAAAAAATGTGCCACCAGTGTTATTACAACCGACTCCGATACCCCCATTGGGAAGACCACCGAATAGTTTGGTGGCATAGCTTCACCCTCGTAGGATCCGCGAACCTCACCTGCACCGAATGTGGAAACCGCGTACTTCAGATAAGGTACGCAGAGGATTGTACCACTTGCCTAAAGGAATATCTGACAGCGAACCCATCCGAATTAGATGAAAAAGGAGAGAAACATTTTCATATCAAACTATAAAAAAAATAAATAAAAAAAAATTTTTAATAAAATAAAAATTTATATATATCCAAGCATTATTTAGATGACAAGACTAACTCTAGCATAAGCATTGTAACGTGTAATCAACGCTACCTTTTTGGTTGATCACACGACTAACTCTTGTAATACTGACACCCTCTCTATTCCTCGTTTAGCCCAGCCCTCTGAAAGCACCGTTCATACGACGACGTTTCATCTAAGGGGGGGAAGTGTTACGAGGCTACCCGATTTTCCTCAAAATAGAGACGCGCGAATTCTATTAAGTATGAGTCAGTTACCGGAAGATAAATATCGAATCCAAAGCAACGACAGTATCGTCCGATTAAACCGAAAAAATAACGAGTGGAACAATCATCGAGGAATGTTTTGGCTTATTCGCACGCATTCCGCATCGAACTGCACTCTGGACCAAAACACGGACCTATTTTTCCGTCAACATACTGACTACCTCAGCACTTCCGATCAAACTTCTAACAACAAAATCCAGAAACAAAGAAACCGGACCCTGTCCTCACGGGCATCTCAAGGATAAGCTCTCGTATAAAAGCGGTACCGAAAAGCAGCCGTCAGTAGTATAGAAGGGTTTAATACAGCGTACCTAGCAGTCTCAGGAGCGAGGCTGGAGCTCTCTGAAGAGCTGACCCTACCGTAGTAACAGTTGTGTATTTCGGTACTCCGACATCCACGAGCCAACAGTGAGAAGAACGACGGCGCTGCGAATTCCGGACCAGGGGGAGAATCTTAGGAAGCTCCAACCCTAGGGCACGCCCCGCTTTGAAGGCGTTCACGTGCAGTTCATCGCTACTGGCAGGACGTAGGAGAGAAGTCACCGGAAGTAAAGGCCTCTGCGAAGCCAAGGTACAGGTCCTCTTCGAAGAGTTCCACTCTTTTACTCTTTTATCACTCTATTTTGAACCCTATTCCAAATTACTAACTCACGATAGAATTCGGTATCTACTTCCCGGTAACAACTATCAAATTCTAACTCTTCAAGTATGAATCGCAACTCATTAGCCGCCCTTGCTGAGTAAGGCAAAGCGCACCTTGCAAGCAAAGAATTCCGCGTCAGCATTCCGCAATTGATACGCGGACGTATCTCCATTACACTTCCGCGAGCCCACAACGTCCTTGTCTTGACTCGCGACGATCTGCTTAGCGCAGCACATATTTGTACACCTTACCCGCATGTGCATTGTACCCCTTATATCATAAATATAACTGTTTCATTCAATGCAACACAATGACTTGGTTCTCACGAAACCTTAAAACCCTCCTGTGTCCTCATTGCAACTTTCCAATACCCTTTGAGGACCAAAACACCTATCGATCCCACCAAAGAGGTTGACCTAGCCGTTCGGGTTATCCTCTCCATATCTCTCAAATAATAAACTGGTTACGTGTGCGTACGAGTTAATATCTCTACAAACAGTATACCGCTCCGAGGAATCTACAAAATTCCCCCGACCTCGCTAGCCACTCGGTCGCCACGTAACAGAAGTATAAGTATTTCATTTTCAATCATTTTTAATAAAATAACTAATATCGGTTCTGAGAACGAAAGGATAACTCCATGATGCATCAGACAGATCTATTACAGAATTTTTTTGCACTCGAGCGCGGATACCGCGCCCGGCTGATTTGAAGTGTCAACTCGAGCGGTGTTGCTGCGGCGCCCGGCTGATTTGAAGTGTCAACTCGAGCGACGCTGCTACGGCGCTGCGGTCTTTTGTCACTCGCTCTGCTTATTTACGATATGCGATAATATATTTCTCTCGGAAATACTTTCGTGGACTAGGCTCGGCTTACATTTTTAGCCAAACCTTAGCTCAGTTTAGTTAGTCTCAGCATAGCATTCGCTTGAAACAGTCTTGGCAGTGAATATAGCAACTGAAATGTTTTTGAGTCCTAAAAATATGGATCAAGATCAGATCAGCTCAAGTTCGGACGAATTCAATTTTACTGCTTTGGATGAAGAAATTACATTGAATTCCGATGGATTACGCCACGAAACGAACGAATCCAGTGGAGAAGATAGTGAGGAAGTAAGAGGTGTGAGACAACGAAAAATTAGAATTATAGAGAGCGAATGTGAAGTTGAAAGTGAAGTCGAAAGTGAAACTGTGGAAGGTGCAAGCAGTTCAAAATGGGTACTTTGCAGAGAGTACGAAGAAGTCCCACCAAACGTACAATTTATACCTGGCCAAAACCCCACAGCACCACGAATAGTTTCTAATATGAAACAACCAATGGATTTTAGTAAACTGTTTTTCACCAATGACCTCGTGGAAAAAATTATTTGTTAAACCAAATTATATGCAAAACAAAAATTGGAAGAGAAGACGCTATCTGCAAATTCGATGTGGCGAACCTGGCATGATGTGAACAATGCAGAATTCTGGGCATTTATTGCTGTTATAATCAATATAGGCACAATGCCGTTGGCCAATTTGCAAGAATATTGGTCGAGGAATATCGCCAGGTATATTCCTTTCTATTCGGATACATTTACAAGAGACAGATTTAGCCAAATATTCTGGATACTTCATCTGAAAACTATGTCAACGCGCAACACGAATCCTACAACGCGACTACAACGAGTAAGTTGCTTTTTGGACTATATCAACTCAAAGTTCTTGGATTATTTTATACCGGACGAGCATATATGTGTGGACGAGTCAACGATCAAATTCAAGGGTCGAATTTCGTTCATAACATACAATCCTAAGAAACCGACAAAATGGGGTATCAGAGTTTATACTTTGGCTGACTCGAAGATTGGCTACATTTGCTGCATTTTGCCATATTATGGATCACTCACAACAGAGCTCTTGGTCAGACCCGATTTACCTGTTTCATCAAGAATTCCGATATACTTATACACAATGTTGTTGGAGAACATTCCATGTGCTCAGCGGCACCATATATACACGGATCGCTACTATACTAGTTATGTCTTAGCTCAAGAACTAGCTAAATTGAAATGCAATATCACAGGAACAATCTTAACGAACAGGAAAGAATTGCCCATGGAAATAATAAAGTTAAATTTTTCGAAAAAAACCACGGTTGCGTATCAACGGGACATCACCTTACTTTTAGGGTGGAAAGATAAGAGGATTGTCACTTGTTTGACTACAAGGGGTGACACAAGAATGTCGACGGTCAAAAGGATTACACGAGGTGGTGTGGAAATAATGGTCAAGAAACCTAATATTGTATTGAATTATATAAAATATATGGGTGGTGTTGATCGGGCGGACCAATATGCATCAACGTATTGTGTTCTGCGAAAATTGCTTAAATAGTGGCGTAAGCTTTTTTGGGGGGCATGGAAATTTTCCTAATCAATTCCTACATTCTGTATAAACTAGAAAAGACCAATAAAGGGGAAAAGCCTCTCAGCCATTTGCGATTTCTAAAAACACTTGTCGAGCAATTGAGAGGATCATATCGCTAGCATCGTGAGTAAGCGTCTACGCCGCATTCCGATGAAATCCGACTACATGGGTAGCTTCACATAGTACTAAAAGGGCCAAAAAGGGACTGCAAGGTTTGCTTTAACCGTAACACGCCTGGAGGTAGGCGGGAAGTAACGTATTACTGTGATACGTGTCCTAATAAACCTACGATGCATCTTGGCCATTGTTTTACGAAATATCACACGAAAACAAATTACAGAGTATAATATTTATCAAATTTTGTTGTTTTCGATATAAAAATAAANCGCAAGCTCGATTCATCCTCATTTTCATTCTAGTTTACTTATTAACCCTTCATCTCCGACCAAAACCGAATACTAACAATAATCGCGATTTCCATGCCTTGCTCCGGTTAACCGGATAGATTAAGAACCCATCAATTTACTTTTAACAACTGAGACCGAATCTCAGCATCGCGAGATAGAATCACGCGCAGACCACCACTAAAATATTAGGAATTCGCGCGTCAGCACTCCGGCGTCCAGTAACCTGCCGCCGCTAAAGCGCGCTATCGCGACACCCGAACCTCCGCGACGCGGAAGTTTACTAATCCAGAGAAGTTGGGTCAATGCACCTCGTGTGCTCCTCACAGCTGACTGTAGATCAAACCTCGCGTACGAATAAATACAACTCTTATCGCCACATAGCCTTTCGTCCGCACCCCTTTTTATTCCTCACTCTCCTAGATCCCACCAGAGGAATTGATCTAGCCGCTCGGATCAATCTCCTCACAAACTCAAAATAACCGTTACGCGCAAGATTTAGGTAATCTCTATCCGAATTACCCCGGCCTCGCATCCGCTCGGCTGCCCCGTAACAAGTGCAAAGGGATAAATGGATCGTGTAGCTGGTATAACGTCTCTGAAAAAATATTGTGGTGTTATTATAAATATTTATATTTAGTTATTTGGCGACTAAGAATATGTAATATTTACTTATTTTTACTCATGCAAACAATTTATTTGGCATTGATGCTCACTGATGCATACACCGTGTAACCCTTTATTAGAATAATTACAAGTTGTGCGTGATCTTCGCACAGGCCCACCATCTTTCCTAATACAAACAACGAAAACTTTTTCCCTCCTTCCAGAAAGTTTACGAATACCTAGGACTGCTAGATTGGTCGATGTTTCGCCCAATGACGTTTCCGGATTTATCCTATTTTTCGCCATCCATTCTGTTGTTATCGATTGAATGATATTGCAAATGAATTGCATTCGAAGCATAAGATTTCCTTCTGTATTCACTTGGAATAAGATATATGCATTCAAAGCCATTCGTAAAAAAATGGAAAAAAAAACTTTTCCGAAATTTTTGCTCGTCCAAATATGCGTAAAGCATCATATTTGAGAGTCGATACCCCCTATAAATTTATTGTAATTGTCTACGATTTCAGGTTTTCCGACTTCTCTTTGCTGATTCCGTCTTCGAATTACAGTTGTTTTATTTGTAGCTATTCCATATGTTGATAATAGTAGTACATTTTTTTTTCTGTGATTTTTTTCTCTATATGCTAATAATAGTATTCCCCGATTTCGTAAATACTTATATTCGCCCACTTGTAATTCCTGTTTAAGATGCGATGGAATATATTTTCTGTTGCTGCGTATTGTACCGGTTAAGAATGTGTGTTCCTCAAACAAGGATCTTGCTAGTGTAATGCTGGTAAAAAATTGTCGGCTATTATGTGGTATCCCTTCATAAAGTAAAGTATAAAAAAACCCATGTTCAGTAATTTGTCTATTTCAACATGAGCAAGACCTTTTTCCTTTATTTCTACTTTGTCACGCTGATCCTTGGCTCTTCGATAGCAATAAAATGAAAAGCAATAATGAGAGATGGCATCGATTAGCATCCAAAATTTTATACCCCATCTATGATGCTTTTTAATCGGCAAATACTGCGTTAGTGTTAATCTGCATTTTGTGCCTACTAATGACTCGTCCATGCTCAACTGCGCTACTGCTGATTAGGAGAATAATAGTACTTGAATTTCCTATTTGCATGAGCAATAACAGGTTCAAATTTTGCTGCTGGGTCATATTCATGGCTATGTCGTGATGGTAAAGTGCCGTTGTCCACAGTATGAAAAAGCTTGCAAAGTAATTGAAATCTATTGCGGCTAAACATTTGCTCAAACCTTGGAATGTATCAATGATTTCTTGACCAGTAACTAAAAATTGTGGGTCTACGGGAATTCCCATTTCAAGCAAATGTTACGTCTCGATGTAATCAAGTTAAAAATCTAGATTCTAAAGTTAAAATAAAATCGGGTTCAGAGAAAGCGAGCCCTGCGCCGGGAAGAAGTAAGGTGCAGAGCTGGCATTCCAGAGGCACGCACGGGCTCGCAGTGTCGATGCACGGCGTGACATATGAGCTCTCTGATAACTATCGTAAACATATTGCGATTACGGTTTCAAGAAACTATCTCGTATCGAGATTCTACCTTATCGCTCCAGCGCATACAAAGCCTCGGCACCAACCAGCATAGAATATAACAAAGAATTAAACCCAAAAACAATTTTTTAAATTCTATTGCAATGATATTAGACCGTTTATAACGTTATATAAATTTATTTTGCGACAGAGCTTTCTCGCAGTGCGAAGAATAAGGCGCTGTCGCATACGCAACGATATATCGTCGTCCGGCATTAAAAGGGTTAAAAAACAGTGTCTTATTCGAATCGACCAATTTGGGGGGGGAGTTCACTTCAATTTCACTTAAATTTAGGAATTACAACGTTGCTAAATACGTGAGTAGTATCGCAATTAGGTTCGGTAGCCATATAAATTTGTAGCGAATTTTCGAGGAGGGTTTTGACGATTATAAGTCGATCGATGACTTTTGAAGTAATGTTTTCTTGCATCCGACTGCAGATTTAAATGAATGCCCGGCAAAATGCGACAGCCTGCAAATTACTGGCCGCCAGTGAGATGTCGCAGCATGGAGGCCATTGCGTCAGGATTGTCTCTTGGTGCCTGAAAACGACGAAAAATTAAAGTCTTCAGAGCTCTCCGCCGGTTCTCGGAGATTTCACATGCAGAACCTCTGGTGGACCTTGTATATTGCCTCCAAATATCGGGTACGTTCAAGTAAGGAACAACGAAGCAGTTTCTCTGGACAAGAGACGAGAAAGTATAGAATTACAGAGACTTGCCATGTGTCCCGATCGGTTGAACCAGTACATCTTCAGGTTCCCATACTCCTTGACATATCCCTCGATTACGTTGTTCACCACCAAGGGAATTCTGCGAGCTGACAACCAGTTTGCAGAATTTTTCCACCTGAGACGCTCGACCCAGAGAAGAGTTCCTGTTCACAGACGAAATACTCATCACTCTCTGCAAACCTTGAAAAAAGTTCATATACAATTTTTGTTGGACCTGGAAGTATGTTATGACCTTAGAAATAATTTTATGTCGATCGTGAACTTCACATTTCTGGGTAGAAATTTTCTGCGACCTCAGATTTTATATTAATCGTGTACTAAGAAAAACAAAACTTGATTAACCAAAGAAGTATTTCTTTGAACAGTACCAATGAAATATTTTGTTCATTCAAAGAGTAATTATTATTAATTTACCGGGCGTGTCAACGATGAGGTCCAACTGAGCAGTGAAGATGAAGACCTCTAGGTTCGTATTGTTCAGCAAAAGTTGCACTGAGTTATGAAAAATAATGTGTAATTAGAGTAATTCATGATAGCAAGGAGGAATCCGTTACCTTGTTCGGTGGTAGGTTTCATAAAATCTTCATAAAGCTCTGCAAAGACTGTTGAACTTTGGTTACCCCAGGTGACATTGAGGCCTAGAGCCGTCTTCACCTTGGTGTTCATTAATTCGTTCAGGAGAGCGTCAGGATCCTCCAGGATAAGTTGTTGGAAGACCGTGCCTGCAAGAAGAGATCGATAGGCGACGCCATTTTGGTCCCGTTGGGGGACGCTAAACGGAGAAAAATAAGAGCCTTAAAGTTACAGAAGCCTATCCGTTGGAAATTGTTGTTTACGATACGGTTAAAAACTGTGCCATTAACGGATTTATCGAGTTAATTTTACTTTCTTACATGTACAGCTAGTGGAAACATTTCTGTAAAAGTCAGCTGTACCTGTAGCTGAAAATATCCGTTAATATCTATAGCGATTTTCTTACCCGCGCAATAAAAAAGATTTTGAGAAAATGTTTGCTGACCAATTTTCAAACGTTTACATATATTCGCGCAAGTGAAATTCTTTTTATAATTACTGTAAATTATTTGCCTCTTGATGGCAAGTAAAAATTTGTTATAACGCACGCAAATAAAATGTTGTATCGTCACTGTAAATTGTTTCTCTGTGCGCGGCGTTCACCTTTCGATAAAGAATTCGCGTCTTTTAGATCGGCCATTGGCTTCGGCTGCTTCCGGTAGAGGATGTTGTAGAAGTCTATGTTGTTGGTCACTTTCAGGATTATTTCTTCCGTGTGTGCCCAAAGATTCGTGGCTGTAATCCAATTCGAAGTGTTGACGGCAAGACTCGTTCGTTTCGCAGCCTCGGCGATTTCTCGATATCCGCGTTTGTCGACCATTCCCTAAAACGGAATTCTGTCTTCAGTAATTAAGTTTTGCTTTAAGGCGATATGAAAGGCGCTAAGAAACTTAATTGACGTCGATAAAATAAAATTGATCTATACTTTTTTCGGTGGTAACGCCATTTTGAAAACTCAAGTTGTAACATACTCTAGCGCGTCACGTTAGCTACATTTATATTTATGTTGGAGTCTGTAACGCTCCACGTTGAGAATTATACTAAATGAAGTATTTCATATATTACTTCAGTAAAGTAATGATGAAGAGATCGATGTGAAACTGTCGAAATCCCGTGAATTGATGTTTTTGATACTCTAATGGACCAACGGCGCCATCTGTGACGTTTAGCCACAACTAAATTCTTGCTCTAAGAACATGTTACCCACAGGACAAGCCAGCACTCTCTTGCAATCGTTTGTGAAAATATTTTCCATATTTTTCCATCTGGTGCAGTACTATACAATAATAATAATTATTAATTAAATACCGTGTTCAACAAAAATGGCGCCCAAGTGAGCACTGAGTCAATCGGCGAGATCCATGAATCTCCGAGAGCGACCCCCTTCAAATTGCTGGTTATTTCTCCTAATTGTTGAGCCTAGAAAACGAAAAATTTTGAAGAAAGACATTACTTTCGCCAGGAACTTCCAATTTCCGGGCCGTACCTTGTACCAGACGTTCGCAAATTCCGCCGCCATTTTTCCGCCGTAAGACTCAGCGGTTACGTAAGTAGGTACATTTTGAAATCCTGGAAACGCTTTCAAAAAGCCTTTAATACACTCCAAAAGGTCTGTGGCAATTTCGGCGTTTGTTTTCGTGTACACAGATTGCCTTTCCACATAACTAAATCCCGTTCCCACGGGATTGTCGATGAAGAGGACGTTGTACTCGTTAATCTGAACAAAGGAAGAAAATCAGTTCGCCATGTTTTTATTTCAATATTTAAGTAAACCTTCTTATGCGGCGCCCGAGCCTCGACCATTTAAAGAGTAATATTAGTTATTTTAGTGATTGCACTACCGAATTTGCTAGCAAAAAACGCTCTAACGACGAATCAATAAGGTGGATGCGAAGAGTGAATGATTTAACAAAGATTATTAACAATAACTAAATCCGGTAACAAACAACTAATGCGGCGAGATGATTACAATGTAGCGGATGAAATGACAGTGGTGAGATCAAAAGATCTCAGAATTAAATGTGCCGAACGGTCGCAAGCGCACGCGAACTGGGCGATTGTCTCGAGCGAGGAAACTTGGAGCCGTAAGCTCAGCGAGGAGCGTTAATAGCAATTGAGATGTTGAGTCTCGCTCGAGATCTAGGAGTCTGTTACTAACCGCGGACGCGAACGGTCGCACGGGAGATCGAAAGACGCGGGAATACCGGAGCGGTGATGGTCTTGTGGTGGTTCATTCGAATCTAGATTTTTGGGACGAAAGTTAAGAATTATGAACGTCCCGGAGGGAGTTCCAGAGAAGCGGAGTTTTGGAAAGAAAGTCACGGATAGGTTGATTGAACCAACGAACTGTTTTCTTGCTATGCAGCCGATTGGTCAAGGAAAAACGAGGAATGGGAAGTTTTATGCATTTCCAGAGGCGTGAGTGAAGACTGCAAATGTGGGGGTCGCACGAGGATTTCAGAGAAGGACCAGAGGAAGGATAGAGAAAGGACAAAAGAGACGATGGAGAAAAATTGCCTTTACTTAGGACAGGTTATACTTTAGAAAGTTGAGCTGAAGTGGTAAGGACATAAACTGTCCTTTTAGAAACGTTTGGACGAGTGGAACTTAATACTTTCCACATGAGTAGAGCGAGGCGACTCGCAGGCGATGCAAATAAGTACTTGAGGAAAGGGACCTCGAAAGTGAAAGAAAGTGACCGGCGCCTTGGCCAAGGGGGGTCAATGGTCTTCGTCGACTCTCGAAGGAGCGGATTGTTCGCAAAGACTGCATGAAGAGTCACTGGGTGCGAGCCCAGATACGCTGGACCCGTTAGCGAATAATGGATTCAATTAGCCATTGGAATAAACTAATCTTTGAATCGCGGAGATATCAAATCGACCTTAACAAGTAAAATGCTAGAAAAGGTTAGATGTAACGAAAAAGCGTTACGCGTTGAAATGTATCCCCTCTCTCTTTCCCGCACACCAAGCCTGTGATGTCATCTATCCCGTACGTGTGTGTGCGTATATGGCGGGTCGATGTGTGACGTGGCACTATGTACCCTGACTCGAGTGAACCTGCCGGGCGAATGTGTACATTACGGAGTACTGACAAAGAAACATTCCCAAATGTCCCACCCCAATTTCGATAACTTTTATACATGTTGTAGAACTCGAAAATCTAAGGGATACGTATTTTTTTACGTGCTAAGATTGATATCTAGGGGGTGAAACAACCCCTTAAAGTTTGATGAAAAAATCGTTTTTTTTTCATAGAAGCACTCCACGGATTTCAGTGAAACTTAGTATAAATATATCTCGTGTAAGGAGGATCCAGAAACGATACCACTCTACACGGTTGCACCCCCTCGACGGGGGTAAACTACCCTTATCAAAAACTTTTTTCTTTTTTTTCGGCGACAAATGATCCAATCGAAATAAAAACTGCATGCCGTTAATGCTTGCATTAAATAAGAGTATTTTGTGTTTTAAGTTTTTTCCGAAAAGCCACTACTTAACACTATAAATATTAATTAAGGGCAGGTAGTGTTTTGTACATAAATACTGAACGGATTCACATGCAACTCGATACGAACATATCTCGTGTCGGAAGGATCCACAAACGATACCGTCCGACACGGAAGTATCCCTCTAAAGGGGTAAACTACCCTTGAAAAAGAAACATTTCTTTTTCGAAGACAATTCATCCGACTGAAATAGAAACTTCACGACGATGATTCATATGGAAAATAAGGTTTCATATGGTTTTAGTTTTCTTTCAAAAACCATTATGTAACGTGGTAAATATATTTGAATGACAGGCAGTATGTGCAATACCGTATCTCTGTCCGATCGCGGCGTAATCATTTTATTCAAACATCTACATCACAGACATTCTTTTCACCGAAATTTCTTTCGGTCCGAACACATAAATTATCATCCAGTCCGCAAATACAAACCTTATCCTACGTAAATTGCCTTGCAATACATTGTATAACGTTTTCGTCATGCATTAAAAATAAACCACTGCGCCGTTCTTTATCACATATCTTCGCGAGTCCGAAGATAAAAATAGATCAGTTGTCTATTGTAACGGGGCGAATTGGGAGCGCTTGCGCGAGAGCGAAATCGACGGCGATCGACGCGTGCGTAATAACCTAAGAAATAGGCGATGCGAAAAGGGCGAAAAGTAGGAGGAAGCCTAGGAGTAGAGAGAGGCCGCGAGACTCCAGGAGACTTCAAGCAGAATTCTAAAAGACAGAATAGGATGAGTTCTAATAGAGGACAGGCGTAGATAGCTAGGAGAATAAATTGAAATATTACAAATTTAATAAAGCTAGAATAGATTCAGGTCCCAATTGGACATATATTTAGAAAGTAGAAAGTCAGGAGTCAGCCAGAGGCAAACTATTGATGAAATAAAATTTATAGGAGAATTTTAGGAATTAAATCCCAACCCCAGCGATCTCTGCCATCGAGGTAGCCGTCGCCTCCCTAAATTCGAAATCCTTTTCACACCTAAATCCTGGGACTGTGCTATGGCAGCATCTCCCAAAAACACGAACAGTAGATCGTGAAAGGAAAAAAAAAAGTGAAAGAAAAGGAGCCATACCTTCGATTGACAGAAGTCAATCGAAGCAGGTTCGCAGGAAAAGAATACAAAGAAAGTGTAGATCCGTACCTTCAGCCTTGTTAATGCGACAGCTCTGAAGCAGGAACTAACACTATTTTCGATTGTGCGAGACTGCTCGGACTCAATCATTGAGATTGCCTTCGATCTGCCGAACTTTCACAGTCGATTCGAAGAATCGGAGCACGAAGAAGTGCAAAACAAAGAACCCAACACAACATATCCTCTCAACCCTCAAAACCCTAAGACCAGTGGATAGCCGAAACTGGATAACCTAAATTCAAATTTAGGAATTGTTTAAAACAGAAATTAAGAAGTTAATAGGACTCCGAAATACTAGGAAACCAACCCAATCGTACCCACACCTTGAATCCCTTTTTATCCGGATTCAATGATGAACAGTTGGCGTACTTTCATGAGATAAATCGTCAGTCTGAGAATTCAATTCCGATCCAAAATAAATCCAGCACAACCAAGTAAAAATAGCTAAATAATCATCAGGCAGAGTTGTTTAAGAATTCCGATCCAAAATAAATCCAGCACAACCAAGTAAAAATAGCTAAATAATCATCAGGCAGAGTTGTTTAAGAATCCCGGAGCATTCGAGATATCGAAACACGAGATCGATTTGGAATTTCGGCCCCGATCAGCTGAGCGAGCGACGCTTAGACTTATAAGAAACCGAAACATTGTCTGCGCGGCACGAGACATAGCGATCCTTCTCTACTCTAATTCGCACGCCTGCCTCTCTCTTACTCGGGTCTTCGCACCTCAGAAACCGGTGATTTAATTTTCCCGGAAAATTCTGACGCGGCTCGGACTCACGACAGTGTGGAAAAGACGGTGCATATTGCACGGCCTAATCCGTACTATTACACTATGGAAAAATAAGTACGAAGGACTTGTAAACAACACCAACATGTATATATGAGATCATGAGTCGGTATATAAACAAACGAATGGTATCGCAAGCAGATGTGTGACTCTTTATAAATTCTGTGCGTGCTTTGCGGCTTATCAATCGTTAGACATTCTTCAGTACAAAGAGTTTTCAATTGTGTCAGCGCGTTCTGATTTTTCAAACATGCTCGTATGTCCAGTGAACGTGATTAATTTACTGCTCGCAACATTTTAAACAATGCATTTACCAACGCCTGAATTGAATTAGCAAGAAGTAATTCTAAAAGAATCGATTCAAAAATTTCTTATGGACAGTATATTCGACTATAATGCTTTAGAAATAACCAAAGATTCGACATTGGATTTCGAAGAAGTCTTTTTAGAAATGGATGCAGAATATGTCGAAGACGCAGAAGATTGGAGTAAGGAAGAAGTGCCTGCACCTTCTTCATTTGTGTGCCTTCGTCCAGTGCAAGATGATCTTGATTTTGATTACTAAAAACGAGCAGTAGATTACTGGCGGAGTGAAAGAAAAGATTATTGCAAGTTTTCCAATGTCCAGAGTCAATTTAGAAAATTTTCTCATCGTCATCAGTTAACGAGGTGGGCAAAACAAGTAGATGGAGGGACTCAGAAAAAAAAATTGATATACGTCTCGAGATTTACATTGATCAAATTACGGAATGCTATCGAAGCTGGATTAATAGTGCACGGTTCAGATAATAAAAAATGGGCTTTAGAAGGTTGGGGAGAGCAGAGCAGCGACAACATGCAATTTATGGCTTCTGCAAAATAGATTTACAATTTCAAAAAAGCTCATCGCATTATTTCTAGAAAAATCATAAAATTCATCTCGAAAAAGACAGTAGAAGACGGTGAGAGCTTGGAAAAGTCAGGCGATGAGTTTGTTAACTCTGTAAAGGTTCTTATGGCAGAGTATGGGCCTCAAAATGTATATAATTCTGATTGAAGTCGATTCCAGTTCGAAGTTCCTTTAGGACGTACGTTAATGTAAGAGAGAACGCAAGAAGTGGAATGTTGTGCTCATTCCACATCGGCCACAACTCACAGTTTTACAATTCAACCAATAATCTCCTGTGATGGTCGATTATTATCACCTTTATTGATAGATTTAAAGGAACCAAGAGGTCGATTTGGGCGTCTAGTAGAAAAAACATTATATCAGCCCCCAAATGTGTTTCTTCTGACTTCATCAGCCGGCAAAATGACGTCAGCTAATGACGTACTTGACCATCTTTTTATGAATGCAATCTGCACAGTCGTCACGGTTAATGATACTTTGGAATTACAGGTCACTTTAAAACTTTGCTAAAAGAAGTGTTTTTCCCAAACACTGGACGGAGATGTCTTCTCTTACTGCACTCCTGGAGCGGTCATTGCAGAAATATTATCGATGAAATAAAGCCTGCAGATAAAGATGTCATGTTGATGACCATATCAAAAGGAACTACCGCGCAAATTCAATCTTTAGCCTTCTATGGTTTTAGTGTCTGGAAAAAAGTTGTGAGACGATTCTTGGATAACGTGCTTTTACATAATTACGATGTTAATCTTCACTTGCGAAACAATATTATTAAACTGCAATCGCTCGTACATAACCAATTATCTTTTCCTAGATATCAAAGCCTTTTTCAATATGTCTGATTCAAAAGTGGATATGTCCATGAAAGGTTAGAAAGTTTCCAGTATCAGGTCGAATTTGCCTTCGAAAAAACATCGGTTATGAAATGTGCAGTTCGCGGTTTGGTACCAATAATACGATGTTGTTGGTGCAGAAAAGCATTTTGTTTCAAACATTTCTTGGACGACCATCACTATTGTCATGAAAATAAACCATGATATAATTTTACGTGAAAATTATTTTTATTACATTATATTTTTTGATACACTTATTCCCAATGTATTTCTTTGCTTTCCGGAAATAATATTCTTGGAGTATTTTTATATATTCACGCTGTACAATGTATTGCGAGACAATTTATGTAGGATAAGGTTTGTATTTGCGGACTTAATGATAATTTATTTGTACGAACCGAAAAAAATTTCGATGAAAAGAATGTCTGTGATGTAGATGTTTGAATAAAATGATTACGCCGCGACCGGACAGAGATACGGTATTGCACATACTGCTTGTCATTCAAATATATTTACCACGTTACATAATTGTTTTTGAAAGAAAACTAAAAACATATGAAACCTTATTTTCCATAAGAATCATCGTCGTGAAGTTTCTATTCCAGTCGGATGAATTGTTTTCGAAAAAGAAATGTTTCTTTTTCAAGGGTAGTTCACGCCTTTAGAGGGATACCCCCGTGCCGGACGGTACCGTTTATGGATCCTTCCGACATGAAATATATTCGTACCGAGTTTCATATGAATCCGTCTAGTGTTTATGTAGAAAACACTATCTGCCCTTGATTAATATTTATAGTGTCAAATAGTGGCTGTTCGGGAAAAACTAAAAACACATAAACTCTTATTTAATGCAAGCATTAACGGCATGCAATTTTTATTTCGATCGGATCGATTGGCGCCGAAAAAAAGAAAAAAATGATTGATAATTCTGCAACATATGTAAAATTTATCGCAGTCGGGGTGGGACATTTGGGAATGTTTCCTTGTGGGTAGTATTTTATGTCGACTTTCACGTATATTTTGGTGACTATATCAGTCTGTGTATACATATGCAATGAAAAATATAATAAGTGAAAGTGGAAAGGAAACAAATCCGATAAGTTGCGAAGCTGGACATTTCAGTTTGGGAATAGAAGCTCCATCTTTACATCATGCAAATGAATTGCAGAAGTATTACTTTCTTTCTAAGTAACGTACCCAGGTGAAATTCCTTTTTTGTAGGTGGAGATCCAGAGGACCCAATTCCTCGAAGTTCCCATATCCTGTTGAAGATCCTCCTGGACCTCCTTGCAGCCAGATCAGCAGAGGTTTTTCGAAGTACGAGGGCACTTTAGCTATAGTATAATACAGCCACCAGAACATGTGTGCGTGCGGCCTTACGGTGACATAACCCCATTCTTGCTCGCCCGATCCGAATCCTTTCTTCCCTGCAAAGATCGTCACCCTCGATAGTTTCGCGCTAAATACACATGGAAAGAAAAGAACTGTCAGGAAAACCACTGTTTCTAATGGGTCTTTCTATCAGCCCTAATTCTATTTCTAACAGTCAGCACTAATGGGACCATTGTTTCTGTACTCACATAGGCAAGGTTAGAATAACCGTGCAACGGGTAAAATCTTACTGTAATTGTGGTCACAGCTCCCGGATTACCGTTCTACCTTCCATTTTCCTGTGCGTTATTCCTATTCTAACCTCTTCATGTAGTTAATATTACCATTCCAAATGTTAATCACTATTGTACATTTTAAACGCAGCTCCATTGATACATTACCTATTGGCAAGGTTACATTTACCATTCTATGTGGTCTATTTCCCCATTTGCATGGTTTTACTTCCCACGGTATTTTGACCATGTCGGTATAGTAGTTGTAACCAAATTATTTTTCTCCTTGTATCGCAAGCATCAAGATGTCGTAAGGATTAGACTAGTCTTAGGATGTCGTAAGGCCATAGACTTTAGTGTTCCGATAATTTTGACCGAAGCGAATATCTCGTACGTGAAAGATAGGATCGTTGTGTAATAGTATCATATCGTAGGGAATTTCTCGTATCAGGTTTTCAGTGTCGGGAAGGCCGCAGGAAAGTTTAATCTCCCCATTGTTGGCGTTCATTACCGTTATTGTCGTCTGAAGCCAAGTTCAATTGGAAAGTGTGCGACCATGGCGTAAAACCAGCGGCTCGGCGCGAACTTAATTTGTATGCGCGCGCATGTTTAAGGTGATATAAAAGGGACATCTGAAGGATCACTCGTTTATAACACTTTTCTCAGAATTGGGTGTACCGAAACGTTTGAAATTTTACCACGTGAATATGGAAACCCTACAGTAGGCCCTAAAATTCATGTATTTCATTTTTTATAAAAAACGTATTTATTTATCATGGACTAGAACCAACGTTGTCTGCGCATGGCTTCGATATATTACGCTTCTCAAAGGCTTAAAAGCGAAAATGAAGACTTTCAGGACCTAGCTTGTTCAATTTGGAATATCATAGAAATGGAATATTACAGAGTTAGATAGGAAAATATGGGAAATACTTTCACGAATAATTGCAAGAGAATGCTGGCTTGTCGCGTGGGTAACGCGTGTTCGTAGAGCAAAAATTAAGTTGCAGCTAAACGTCACAGATGGCACCATTGGTTCATTAGAGTATCAAAAATCATGAATCCTCGAGATTTCGACAGTTTTACGTCGATCTCTTTATTGTTACTGACTGAAATGACATTTGGAACGCTTAAGTTCTGGAACGTATAATTCTCAACATAGACTGTTAAAGACTTAAACAGAAACACAAGTGTTGGTAATGTGACGTGGCAGTTTATGGTACCACTTGAGTATGTGAGTTACCACCAAAAAAGGTGTAGATGAATTTTCTTTTATCGACGTCGATTAAATTTCTCGGTGCCTTTCATATCACCTTAAAATGGTGAAATGTTGAAGTTTGATTTGAGCGCTCTCCCTTTTTTCTTAACTTACCGTTCGCTGCAGCGACGAGACAGAGCAACAATGCCAAAATTGCCTTGGCTGCCATTTTGTCACAATCGACGACGGTTTTCCGTGGACGACTGAACTCGACACGCACCTTAGAATACTAATAAATAAGAAAATGTTACGGCTTATCTTGCTACTAGTCGCCTTCAATTCGTCGATCCCGATAAGATAGAATAATACCCGCCATGTAAGTAAAGTAAATGTTATCGTAGGTGTACCGTAGGTGCCCCCCCCCCCGCACTTCCGTTCCGATTTTTGCGTTACTTTAAAATTTTTATCAAAATCGGCGAAGAATAGGAACTCGCAGCGGCAATACTTTCCTAAATAAAGTCTGCAAATAGTGCAAATATTTAACAAATGTAAATAAATCCCACGATTTCTCCGAAGACGAGGGGAATCATTCAATTGGGAAACAGCGCTTCTCGAGAGGTTTAACACGCCGTCGAATAGATTTTCAAGATGTCGGTCGTCATAACTAAATTTCAATGCTGGAGCAATATGCGCAGTATTTAGCCGCTATATGAACTACAGTTTACCAGTATTGTACTAATTAAAATTGCTACATGGATGGCGTCGAATAAATTTCCAAGATGGCGGTCATCATAATTACATTTCAATGCTGGAGCAATACTTGCAATATTTAGCCGCAATATGAACTACAAGTTACCAATATTATATCAATTAATATTGCTACATGGATAACGTCTCTACGGCATCCTAAGATGGCTGCCAAAGCGACTTCCGGTGTAACTTCGATTCCAGCGTCAGTAAAAATCGAGAAAGTTATATTGCTCCGTGAGTCACATCACGAGAGTAAAGCGATTCGGCCGGCGCCATTTTCTCCGGATTATTCCTCCCGAACGTATTTCTTTCTTCTTTTCGTTTTTAATCATTTCTTTCTCTTTGGGGCTCGATCGAGTTCCTAGCGCGGGAATAAGAATTGTGTAAGGCCCACTTAACCCACTTCGGCCGTGTGAAACTTAACCTATAAATCCGGGTCTCGTGCTCTCGTGCACAATTCAAATAATCCGATCATCCTATTATGCTATTATACTGTCAACGACGTTGCGGTGTCACCTCTATCTTGTCTTGTATCTCCATTGTAGTCGAACTTTTTACAAGCCGCCATTACGTCCTCATATACACGCGTAACAGGTCGGCTGCCATTTTCATAAAAACAAGAGCATGATAAAAGTTCACGAGAATTCCTACAATTTTAGTGAATTTAACTAAGGAGAACAAGAAAATATTATTAGAGCATTTACGAAAATAAAATTTCGATATAATTTCGTAATTTTGTTGTGACTTTTCGAACGTTAGCGTTATTAAATTGTTCGTGAGTAATAAGTCAGCCGCCATTTTCCCAAACATGGAGGAATGCTAAAAATTCACGAGAATTTCTCAAATTTTGCTTAAAGAAATTAAATTGAGCAAAAAAGAAAAACGGAAGCTGGAAATTATTCGATATATCTTGTCAAATTCGTCGTTATAGATCATGACACATGTTTAAAAAAACTTGCCAAAGCATTACTCGCATCCTTAAATATTCCTTACTTTGTGATACAAAGATATCGCATCCACAATTCATTCGTTATCTAATCTTAAATCACCATTGTTGATACATCTCTCAAAGGCCTCCATTACGTACTCGTTTACATGTAACAGGTCAGACTTGATTTTCCTGCAAGGAAGGTATAAAGTACGTAAACGATCGTTAAACTCGACGAAAACACCCCGGTTAGCTTATCTCGGCGTTAGTTAACTTAAACTTGTACAATTAGACCTCTAACATTAATAAAAAAATAAACGAAAGAATGAATTGCAACGCATACATAACTCTAGATTACTGAACAGATAAATAGTAAACAAAGAAAACGCATAAACATAACGTACGTCACCAATGTCATAAACATTTGATAAAACTGAAATATTCCTTTTAACTGTAGAAATGGAGGTTACGTTCGCCCAGTGGGCAGAATCCGGAAATCCGGAAAATTCCATGGACTTGTTAGAAACCTCCTCGGAGGTCAGGGGGTCTACTACGTAAAGCAAATTGAGGGAAAATGTGAAAAATGAGTAGCTCAAGGTATTACGGAACATTTTTGGTAGTGAAAATGCAAGACCATTCATATGAACTAGCTCGGCCCAAATTTTTAAGCGAAATGGTGAAGCATAAAAGTATTGTGATTAAAAGAGATATGACTTCTGTCTGGGAGAGGATTTTATTGTTCTCGGGAAAATCAAACAAGATGATCTGAACAAAGTTTATGTATTTCCGGGACGCAGATTACATTAAGAGACAAACGTGACGAGATAACCTCCAAATAAAGAGAGCGTGCTTGGGTTGGTCAAAGGAACTAACGCCGGAAGACGATCCCCGCTTCTCACTCTTTAGAGATACTACGGGGTTCAAGAGCACGCTGCATGGTTGAAAGAACCACGAAGTTCGAAAGCATGCGCAGCTAGTCACAACAACAAGAAAAGATAGAAAAATAAGCACCGTAAACGCCATCTTCCACGGATTGTGACATCGAAATTCAAAATGGAAAACCTCCTGAGTGTTTTGATTTTTGGTAACAATCGTATTCGGGGACGTAGTAATAACCTTATTAAAAGAAGAAGGGAATTACGCGATGCCCCAGACCCATTTTCGTTAGAAGAAAGAGAATTTACTACTATGTACAGGTCAGTTTCTGTTGTTGCGAGGTTACATTACACATTGAAAACTGTTAAATAATTCATGCTTACATGACATGATAAGAAAATTATATTACTGAACTTCTAATTGTAGTACATGTAAATAAGAATGTAGTACATATTTAAAAAAATGTAGATAGACTCGAGTCTCTTCCTTATTTTCAACGGCTTTTCATCTTCCCACCTTACCTACCTATTAACCCAATACCTCCCACACGGACAACTACTTATGATATACGTATGTAGGATATCTGTCTAAAACATTCAGATGTCTAATAGATGTATACAAAAGAATACGGAATGTGCTGGGGTATGTACAAATGTCCGCGCCGTCATCGTATAGTATATGTATTTTTGAACATTCCACTTTTATTTAATATGCATTCCATATGGATAAAGTATGTATATTATATGTAAACAAGATATATGGTAGACGTATATAAGATATCTATTCACGCATAATACTATACGTATTTTATACATATATAAGATGTATTCCAAATGTAGGTGGACTAATTTAAAAAAGTATTATTTATTTTGCACTAAATGCATTTTTTTTAGAAACAATTTACCTCGATCTGTTCAGGGACCTGAAAGATTCGAGATATACAAACATCTGACATTGAAAAAATCCTCCTCATGGTGGTGACCGGGATTCGAACCCGAATCATTTGGGTAACAGACTATAGTAGTACTGACCACTGAGCTACCGTAGTCCTATGGATTATGCGACTCGTTTCGCAAATTAAAACACCACAGTAATAAGTTTAATTAAAATTTGGTTTAACCAATATCATTTATATTGTCAATCTCTGGCCAAAAATAAGGACATGTATATAAGTTATATATATATTCCTTGCAAATACTTGTACTTGTACAAGAAAACCGTCGCGGCCAAAGCGATATATCTTGTGACATCATTTTGATTTTGTATGAGCTTCACTTTCAGTCTGCAGTAGTCAGGTCACACACCAATAAAGCATATAACAAACATGCAGCAAAGAAGCATCTAATGTACCATGTTATTTAAATACATCTAGGCACATATTACAAGCATTTGTTGTATTATGTACTTTATGGGTAGAAATAAATTTCCCTGTTTGTTTGTTATTACACGTATGTAATATGTATGTATGTCATATGTATACAGCAAATTAATGTTCATTTCCTTAATATACGCGCAACTTACACATATTAGATGTCTTTTGCATGTGTAATATCGTAAATATAGGAGTCTATTAAATAGAGATGTATTATACGTTATTAAACGTATTAATTGGTGAATATGTGGATGCTCTAGTAACGTATAATATACACTGTGACGTTATTTTTACTGCTATAACTCCCAAACAAAGTTCTGGCAATTAAGGTTCCGACTCTCTGGTGGTCACACATAAATAATTAACAAAAGAGGGTCTCCGTCTCGTACTCGCTCAACAGCAGCAACATTTTTGGGCGCCAGGCCCTCCAAAGGGCCAATCCGGGACCCGAACCGCACGGGCCCAATCCGTCGGGGCTCGCACCAGCGTACGGGAGCTCACGCGCCAGCGATGAGCCTCCCAACCCGCCCACGGATTCGCACCAGCATAAGGCCCGAAGAGTCGGTCCTTCAACTAACAGAAGCAAAATTACCTTAACGTCCCATACACGTAAAACTTGAACTAAAGGTAGCGATACGAGACGAGACGCAGCGTCACCGGCGACGAAAAATAAACCGGGCTAGCTCAGTACGCCCAAGCGACCGCGGAGAGGGCGGGGTCCTTTCAAAAAAGCAAACCAGAGGCGGAGTTAAATTAATGGCCTATTTATTCCAAAACGAAAAATATTGACCCCAACAATTGCCAAAATGGCCACGGGCGGGCCCACAATCCGGTACCGACCCGGGCGACGAAGCGCGCGCTCGCGCTCAAAGGGACGATGCGCGCGGCGAGGCGCACGGAAAAGAGAAGGTGGCTTTAGACAGCCCAAAATTCCAAGACACGAAATTCAAAACGCAAAAAAAATCTAAAACGCGAAACTATATCTTCGATTACAATTGGGCTCGACTCCGGGACAAGAATATTAATCCTATTAAAGAGAACACGAAAATGAGAATAGCACGCACTCAGTTAAATTCGGAAATTTTACAAGACTAGACTCGCGAAGAAAATATTCAAACGGTGAACAGACGCAAGCAAAATCAATCAAGGTTTCAGCGAGTAAGGCAGCAATAACACAAAAAATACAAGAAAAAGAAGCGCAAGAAAAGGCAGCAATTTAAAAATATCGGCGCAAATCATCGACGCAAGAACAAAGAGGTTTCGGACATATAAATTTTCATCAATTATATTTGCGCGGAAATGGTTATCATCCAACTAAATTTTATCAAATCACGAAACAAAC